CTGCGCACATCTGTATCTGTCGTTTAGTGACACAACTTTCAACTGTGCGAACATCTACAAGCTGTCCTATAAGACGGCCGTCTGTAATAGCACTGTTAGGCCTAGTTGTTTGGTCAATGGGGTTGCCTTCGTCAGCATATTAATATTGTTGATTCAATCACTTCTTCCTTGTCACAGGTACTACTAATATCCGCGATTTAATAATGTTTCGCGAAGAAATGTTTATATCTATTGCGATGAAAGAGAGAAAATAATAAGACACGGCCTACAAATTAGTATCGGTTGAAAATGAAAGCATTGGGCAGCATGTACATAATCTTGTGAAATTGACCATAATAGATTTCAGGTGGTTGTACGTTGTAGACGGCAAAACTCATTGCAGCATCTTTTGTTTCAACAAGTGTAAGGAATACAGCGTTCTGATTTGCCAGTACTACAACATGATTTAATAAAAAACAATGAGTCTTTGTAAAAAGTTTTTGAAATCGCATTTAGAGTAGGACCTATTATACCGAATACATGCCATTATTTTTTTTTACACTTAAGGAATATTTAATTCATACTTACATAATTTCTTTAAATAAAAGAACGAAATTATCATTTTCTTTTACTTTCTAGTTATAAAGACATTCGGAATTTTAAGACATTATGTAAAAGTGCCAACAATGCAGTACATTATTACTTTTTCGAATTCAATGGGGGCGCTATGGCCTTCTACTAGGCCTAATAGTGTTTACATACTCTTGAATACATTTTCAACTTACAGGCCTACGTAGGCCATACGTCACAGAAAAATACACCTGAAATAATGTCACTTTTGTCATCCGGAATATTGGTCATCTGGAATATTGGTCAGCTGGAATATGGCAAAATTATCTCCGGGTAGATTGGTCACCTAAAATGTGACACGATGTCACCTGAAATGCCTACCGTAAGTCAACAAGGCAACTCAGCTTATAGGCCTATAATATAATATAGACTTATTTGGATCCTAAAATCAGGGATTGGAAGGCTACAACCAAGCTACGGCTCCACTCCATCAATAATTCAACATTTGGAAGGAAAACATCTCAACCGCAAAACTACAGATTTATTCCAAAGCATAATAGGCCTGTAAACTGATAATGAAATATACCGTATGACATAAAATAAAAAAATAAATAACAAAACTAGAACAACCCTGGATTTTTTCGTATGTGACGAATCCCAAGCGTCTATAGGCACTTTAACGAATGTATTGCTATGGTACTCGTAGGTCTACTTGGACCTCTGTTACATTTAAGTTAATTTGATGCTATATCCCCAAATCATACACCTATGGATTTTTTTTCCCTGGAATTAAGACATCGCATGACCGTCATATTTGAGCATGGTTACCCCAGGGACAGTGACATTAAGACAGGCGAGAGAACATTCATTAACACTGTGTTTGAATTTGGATTACAAACTATCAAATTCCAAACGCCTCATAATTAAAGACAACGACTTAGACCGCTTACAATAATAATGTTTCAACGATTGCATGATAGCTTGTTAATCCGACAATAATTTGATAACTGAATTGGTACACATAATATAAGCGAGACTGTGTTTATCATACGCTCGCGCCATGCGCCAAGCAATGAAAGCCGATCGGCGTTATGATTACTTAGGATTAAGGCGATCACGAGGGATTATTCGAAGCATAATAACTGATAATCGGTTCGATTAAGAAACGTGACGGTTTGTGCTCTTATCAACAAACAAAGATGTGTATAAGAGACAGGTCTGCGAAGCGAAATTAAATTTAACTTTGAACCTAATATGAAGTTCATGCTCTGAGTCGCGCGGCGATTTTGGAGCACTTCGTGTAACGCTTTAAAAACGATGGGGAGGGGGGATGTCTCAGCGTGCAGCAAAATTGTGAGTGAATCAGCCATTATTGGAGGTGATAAACTGCTCACAATTACACTAATAATCAATGGTTAATAATAATAATAATAATAATAATAATAATAATAATAATAATAATAATAATAAAATAATTATAAGCCATCATAATAGGCTCATATATGTAATCGCCAGCCCCACGACCTCAGGTATTATATGCATTTTCATAAATATCAATAAACGGACTGAATACGATGCGGATATTTTATATCAGCTGAAAACATCCTGATTTCGTTTAACGGAATACCATAAAAGTTGTTGGCTTATATCTAAAATAATTTCAAGGTGATCGTATGTAAAGTACCGTGGAAAAAAAATTGGCCTACAATTTTCGGGTAAACACAGAAAAATCTGAGCGCTTCCTCGTCTGTCCTATTTAGTATTATCGGTATCATTCGACCGAACAACAAATATTCAGCTTAATTATTATTTATGACAGCTTTTTGCAGACCTTCAGTTTAAGTCATGAGCGAAAAACAAACGATTTGTTAGGAATGAGTGAAAAACAAACGATTTGCCTCTTCCTGTCAAGATAAATGCACAGGAGTTAAATAATACAAGCAGTGATGGTAGCCTATTTCTGAAGCTACACACGTCAATTAGTCTTAATTATTTTGTTTGTACTTGGCGTAACTTTGAAGGGGATGGATCTGAACTTGTTTGTGCTGTTGCATCGAGACGTTCAAACTCAATCCAATTTTTGTGATGGTAGGATTAATATCGTGTTTTATCGTCAAATACAATTGTTTATTTTTTTTATAAGAACAAATTTTATAAGAGCATTGAGGCTTAAATACCGTAGCTTAAAAATTGAAAACAGAATATGAACAAATTGAGGCTGATGTAAAATGTCAAATGAGGTTTTTATTTTTTAAAACACACAAAAAAAAAACTAATCTTATCTGTACCTTATTTGCAGAAGCTGTGATTGTAATACTGGTGTACAACAAAAACTTTTTATGTTTGAAAAGTGTGTAAAAATAAGAACAAATTCATGAATGAATGAAAATAACCAATAAGTGATAGAAGCAATTCAGTTTTTGTATCGTCACTACGTCATTATCACAGGTCTATGATAATGACAGTGACGATAATGACGACAACGATGCCAATATAATAGGACGGTGACGATGTGACTGAAAATGACGACGATGATGACCGCGTTGTACTTTGATTTTAAGTTCGTTTATAGACAAACGCTTGCTTAACACCAGTAACAGTAGCGATGGTGTATGTTGGTCGTCGTGTTAGTCTTGTTTTTCTGTTTTTTTTTTTAAATTTAGCATCTTCAATAGGTGTTAAACAAGCTTGTCTAAGCATGTGGATAAACGAAAAAAATCCGACTAAATCTGATCAGATCCGAATTTGTCCTGTTGACATCGTACCGTTCGTCTGTTTCAAGGCAATGAGTACTTTTTTGCGGTGTGACCAATCGCTGACTAACAGATTCATGCTAATAATGCCTTTTAACTTCAAATCATCGGCTAATAAATATAAAACCACGGCAATGGAACAATGTATAAGCAGACGGCGTTCGGGAAATCATCACCATTTTTATAAGAAATACTTTTATTCTTAACGTTTTATTTCATTGAACCCGCTGACCCCCGTTCTGTCAACAATGTCCTTTAGATGAACTAACACATCAAGTTCAACGCCCGAGGTGTGAAAATGTTAGTCTTGCACTAAAGACAACCAAAGAATTCTGCTCAGAGAAATCTCCGCTACCTGAAAAAATATCTAGAATACTGGAGAGATGAGACATACAGTTATCTTTGCGTTTATGTTTCTTACATTCGCCTCAAGCACTGTTATTAGTGGAAAAACTGGACAGTTGTCTTGCTGGTATAACCACTAATGAAAGTGCACTTGGCTTGACCAAATGAGTAGGCTGACCGATCGCTTGTCAGTGATCAATGAATACCAAAATAGTATTTGCTATCTATTACCCCAGACTCTTGGTCGTAGGTAAAAGTAAACTAATATGGTACATCTTAATAATACACGGTGTTTGCTCTCCCCTATCGAAAAGGCACTTTTTTTTAATCCTATAGTGCAAGTTGGTGAAAATTAGGTTTAGGCCTACCTATAGCCAGAATTAGGTCTAATTCGTTTGTAAATTTCCAAGGGTTTATCCAACCTGATTACCCATAATGGATGGTGACTATTATCAGATTAGGCATGTAATTTGTATTCAAGCAATTTTGTTTATATCCTACTTTTTTGTAGAGTTACCGTAATTGGTGGTACAGGTGGCTCTTCGAAACTTGTGAGAAGGCAAGCAAGTGTTTTTTTTTTCTTTTCATGCTTTTCGAGGAGCTACCTGGCTCATCAGTGGCTCCAATAGGGCCTACATTTCATCATTTGTCGATCAAAATCATGTAAACCCCTAAAATGAAACCACTGTGGCTCTGTTCCGCAGGCCCACAAAACTGTCATTGATACTACGGGAAGCCCAACTTAAATAACTAGGCCGCATTCAAAGAAAAATCGCTCGTAATAACACGCACGCACATCGCCGCGTTACGGATCAAAAGCATTCATCCAATCGGAAAGAAGCCCGTTGTCCCGTGATCCACTTACTTTTCTACCTCCGTGTTACTACTACTACCAGTGAAAATAGTGAGGTAGTTTTCAGACGGTTTCTAGTCCCAAATGGGTGATCGGGCAAATAGGTATACAACATGGTCCATTATGTTTTACTAAGCAGTGTGTATCCACGTGGAATTGGATCTCATCCCATATGATCCAATCTTTCATTCAGGAGTGACGGAATTCATGTTACGGTTTTCTGCATCGACAGAAGTAATTTAGTGCGCAAATGACGTGAAAAAAGGACATAAAAACGTCGAAAAAAAACCCACAGTACTTTCTGTATATCATATAAAAGAGAACGAATCAAATGACGGTTAACCAATTCTCTGATGATATAGGCCTACTTATTTTACGATAAGTGCTAAATGAAAGACGTGTCACAAATTTAGTCCTATTCTTCAATAGGGGCATATGCCTGTGATGATTAATTTTAAAAATTAAGATTGATTAATTGATTGATTGAGTGATTGACGTACCTTAAATGCTTGCGTTAACTACAACTTCCCAGCCCAAAATCAAGACTTAGAAATACTGGTGAATAGCTGAGATAGTTTCAGCACCACCGGCAGATAAACTTAAGATAAAATAAGATTATTAAATAATGTTAATACTGACAGACTGCTTCAATACAATTGTTCACCTCTGATTAAAGGCAACTAATACACCCATTAATCTACACCATTCAAAAGCTTTGGAAGATATATGTTTTATTACAGAACATTTGTCCAGATTCAATTCAATTTCAACTTTATTTACCGTAGTCTTTGGCAGAAAATATTTTGAGTGTATTTTTTCATAGCATTTACACATATAAAATTCAAAAGATAAGATAGGCATAATACAAAGTGCAAAGAGAATATATTAAAAATATTAAAATACAGTAAAAAACACCAAATTAAAATAGCGTAGGCCTACTTCATAGGCCTCTTTAATATTTCATATATTAAAGCATCATAAAAAGTAAAAGTATATCACATTATTGCATTACAGTATTTAGAAATCGAAGAGAATATGGAACAAAAGAATTAAAATATCTAGCAACCATTAGTTGTTTAAATACATTTTTTGTATATTTTGTATTACTACTTCTCGTGATAGGCTGAATGGTTTTTAATTTTTTTTTTGTAAATAATAAAATTTCATAAGTAAAAAAAATATTGTAAATAGGCCTAATAATAATCGATTAATTGTTTGGATGTTTAAAATTACTACCGTACTATAGGCCTACATTTGTGATAAGGACATTTGTGATAAGGACTTTAAAAAATCACATTGTAAATAATTATTGATAACACTGCAACAGACAATTTTTAAAAATAATACCGGTATTGTACATAGGCCTAATCATAATTGATTAATTTAATGAAATATTATAATTGTTTAAATCATTACATTTGTTGTGTATCTTCAATCAAATATACATTTTCTAGAATTAATTTATGTTGCTCTTAACATTTTACACTTTTATATATTATTTGTATCATCCAATCTGTGGTTATACGATTTCAACAAAGTGAAATATGGATTATCATTAGGCCTATTATTGAGTAGTGATGGCCAACTTTATTAGGCCTATTATTAAGAATAAGGTTTTGTCACACAATTAAACACATTTCCACTTCCTAAGCTTGATAATTGGAATAATTTTATGCCTAGAATGCATCTTACGTAAGCGGTTTGCCGATCACTGTTGGTTTAAGGTATTAATTTCTATTAATGAATTGGGGAATATCGCGTGAGAAAAAAAGACGAAAGGAAAACGACAATGTCGCTTGCAAAGCGCGGACTAGTTCGAGCGCTAGTACCCAGGCGAATTCATCACGATGTTGACTCAATATGACGACTAATGATTTATATCTGAAGATATGTACAAAAGGTTAACGCGTTTGTCCAAGGAACATTCGGCAGTAAATCAATTTAAACAGAACTTGAAGTTCTTATTAAATCTTTTAGGAGGTTGACTACCGCTGTGCACCTCTATAATTATATTTTAATTCTATCTAAAACAGCCATCAAAAATCACTGTCATTTAATTACTGGTCGTGAAAGAATCGCAATACAATCGGTATTAATTGTCTTCACCAAAAATATTCCTAGGCTTAGCACATAGATTTGATCCTCGCCTGCTAAAACTATCAATGAACATAAAATCTGACATGTAAAATTTACGAGCTTGTTTAAAAGAGATCCAGATATTGTTTAGTAAACCTTGATAAATTCAGCAAATTAGGCCAACAAAATAATAAACATGTTTCTCGTTCAAAATTTCGAAAAGAAAATCCTGTAGGATGGTGATGATTCTTCTTTATTTCACTTCACAAATATTCCCACTACACACACTCTTCTGAACACTGTAATGACACTAATGAGAGAACATATCATGAACTAGTGTTTCGTATCATGGGGACATTTAAATGTCCAACCGGTTTCTCTTTAAAATAATGAATACCGTACTATAAAAACAAGTCAGATAGGTCTATACAACGTATTTCTAAATGTTTACGGGACGACTAAAGCCCTGAAATGCTATGGGCCTGTATAATTGGATAATATCAGGCCTAACTGACACACACGAATAAGTAGGGCCTATTACCTACAATGATGCTTGAATTTTTAGGTGTTTTTGGTTTATGTAAATAATATTTGTTAAAACACCGGTACGGAGGCGGCCCAAAAAGGACAATGAGGGTAGGAGAAACACGTTCCTTATAAATTTGGCCTACAAGAAGAACTTAAATCTGAATACCGGGGATCAGGGGAATCGGGGGGCTGTCTACTTCTCTGGGGGGAAAGGTCAATGGTATTTGTCGAATTCGGAGGGTTTGATGAATCAATTTGCCAATCAATCTGACCGGTCTACGTAGCACCATCTGCAAGCAACGTAAATTGCACATTTCCTCTGACAAATTTCATGATACCTCTATAATTAATTAGCCTTCAGAAGGCGTGAAAAAGCGCTATAAATCGCCCAATACCGGTAATGAAAGTCAAAACAAGGTGAAACCTTTTCCCAAAACAAAACCTTAATGTCCAGTGATTGGCAGGTGTGGTAAGCCTGAGAAAAAAAAAAAAAATCAATACGAAGATACAATTGATATTAAAAATAGTTACGAGGTTAACACCTTTGTGGATATTTATTTAGGCCTCGATGACTTCCCATCCGCATATCAAGATTCAAAGCGGTAGATTGAACAACTTGTTGATATTACCATATTCATTATTCGCGGGGTCTGTTGTTGTCCAAATTGTTTCAGATTTTGACTATAATGATGACTGGCAATTTAACGTCATGCAGTCATAAGCATATTTCATTTTAATCAAATATGCATAGGCCTAAAACGCTCTGGATTGAATTCTATACTTGTATTACGTTTGAATAGTAACATGACAAAAACAGTTAACACTGAAGTCAAATATAATATATAGTCTTCAATCTTATAAGAGGTTTTCGCGGGACATATATGCAGTCCCACTATTGGCAAAAAACTTTAATCTTGTCATGCGAGGATTACGGAATTGAGGTTGAATAACTGACGATATATTATGTTTAGAGTAGGTTTATCTGTGACTTTGAATGTTACAATGGCGAATGTGTAGACCTGGGGGGTTTGTAGAGTGTTAAAACTTTATCAATCAGTCAACGAATTTAAGAAATGTACTTGAGTGGCTTAATGGTAAATTCCATGAGAAGTTTTTCTTAACTGTAGGCGACCTTGTTTTCACACGTTTACAGGTAAGCCGGCAGAGAGGAGTCGATGATTGCATCACCGCACCCATCAATCACCGACAGTCCTCCCGCCAGGTAAACTTCTGATCAAGGTGTTCTCTGTAAATTTCAGGTGAGTTGGGGCTGAACAGACCGATAAATCAGACATTTTGAAGGCCACTTTTCTGGATGGTTAGTGAGTGATGGATAATTATTCCAAGCAATTTTAACATGTTCAAAATTTAGTAGTTGTTGTTTAATCAACCTCCCTTGTGACTATCCCGACTAGCAAACTGTTCAGAGATTACAAGCACTAGGTTCTTCGCCTTGTGAGGTCCGAAATACATTTCGTTGGTGTAACAGGTGAAATACACATCGCACATATTGAATAATAGAACTATGGATTGAACTTCCACAAGGGGCGTGGCCCCTGGGTCATAACGCTTACTTACAGAAATATAATGTCGAAGCTGTTAAGATAGGGCCTATGTATTCAGAGGGCGCTATGCAGAATCTCGGAGATGGCAAAAGTTGTACAACGCCGAGTCGAGTTGTTTAAATGAGGAATTCTTAATACCGTATTTAATTACATACATTCCTATTAAATGATAGGTAAGCATAGGGTTTTGGGGTTTCCAACAATTCTGCCCTTAGTGTTTGTATCTGTGATAAGGTCTATTAAGTACATTGAGATATTCTTTTAATACTTAAGAGCTATACAAAAACGGTATTATTATTGATATTATTATTATTATTATTATTGATATTATTGATTTATTATTATTATTATTATTATTATTTATTATTATTAAGTAATGATTTTGTATAGGCTAAAGCTATTAATTATATTAGGCCTCACCAAACTGTAAATAGGCCTATGTCAGTAGAGTGGAACATCGGCCAACATTTGCAGACGAATCGCAAATTAATAAGTTGGCCTACGGCAATGATTACTGATACTAACATAGGTATGTTTAGAAAGTTCAAATTAGCATTCACATACTATTATATGGCGTACATGAATAGGGCCTAATGGTTAAATTGTCCAAATATTTTGGACCAGAAAACACAAGATAGGTCTAATGGTAGGGGCCGACTCCAACAAAAAATCACGTACCGGTAGGCCTATATTTGAAAAAGTAGACCCTAATATATATATGTTTTTCTTAATTAATGTTTAATCTAGGGCGTAGGCTTACACGGGTCACACATGATCCACTCCATCTCACCTCCAATCTACCTCTCACCGTCGTCAATGCAAGTTAGTCTATTGCTGGCCTGAATCTCAAAAGAAACACTTCCAATCAGCAGAACCAAAACCATCTTTCAGCCAATTCGTCGCTCACATCACGAACTAACACAATCAAAGTAGATTGTGTTAGTTCGTGAAATCACAGTAGCGCGTCAAAACGGGCGCGTATTGGTTGTCAAGCAATTTTGTATTCTTTACCACACAAAAAGTCCTTAACGACAATAGCGCGTATTTTGACGCGCTTTTTTGATTTCACGAACTAACACAATTGAATTTAATTGTGTTAGTTCGTGATGTGAGCGACGAATTAACTGCGAGTTTGGTAATGTTTAACTTACATTATTAGTGTTGATATTATCATCTGATACAACATATGTCTAAAAGTGACAGAAGGTAAATAATCACGCAAAAGTCTAGGATGAAAGTAGTGCAATATTGTAACGTAAACGACGTTTTAATTTGAACTAATTCCTGACGGAGAAGTCGCTGTACTTTCTTCGTTTGTGGTTCAACTATTGGGGCTTTCTGGATCGTGATTCATAATAAAGCTCATAGTACTTTCAATCCAAGAAACCAAACCTCCTAAGGGCACATTTTAAATAGATTGCTCGCAGAGCTTTTTCTGATATCGCTGTGGGGATAAATCGGGCATTTCCCGCAATTACTGGCATTATTTCGATATTGGGTGTGTGTGTGTGTGGCCATATGTAATTCCCCTAGCGGCTGCAAAATACAACAGAGGAGTGTTAAAGGAAATCATTCGTTTTCTTGGACTATTTACAAGACATGAAAAAGATTCCGACAGATGTCACTTCAATAAAACCTGTACTATGAAAAAAATGTCCACCATGTAATTGGGTTTCTTCCACATAAATTGGATTGTATAAGCCTACATATGACTATCATTCCGCATAGGCCATGTCGATAGAGAATACCAATCATACTGCTTAGGATAACATCTCTGATTCAAAAATATAATTTTATGTTATAGGGCTATACATATTAACAAAAAAGTTTTTAAAAAAGCACATTTCTATTTTTCAATTTCATAGCGCTAGCTAGGGCATATCTTGTTGGAAGCTTTACTACTTTACTGTATGGGATTGTCTTCCGGTTCACTGCCCAATCACCAACAGATCGACCCCACGAGAAATTAGTCTTCTTCAGACTTTCGTGGGTTATCCTTGTTGTTTACAACGAATAAATCCCTCTATCTATCCTTTGTGGTAGGAAACCACCGGGTGTTTGAAAATTGAGGATTCACTAGATGAACAGTTTCAACCAGTTGACAGTTTCACCTGGATGCACATTCTCTGTTTCTACAAAAACATTTGCAAGTCAGTATTGAACACTTAACTTAGGGAAGTTCTAATAATGAACAGTCCATTTTAGAAAAGATTTGACAAACGAAGTGCTAATTGTGAAAAGAGTTCCACCGTGAAAATTACTGTTGATAAAAACATTACTTTAAAACCATTTTCTGGATTTTGTTTCTTACTACCGTTGACAATTTTCGTTATACCGTACTTAGTGCCACTTTTTGGACGAACATTCCCATAGGTCAATAGTTGACAGTTCTAGTTATGAAAACTCCATTACCGGTGAACAGTTCTGTTTATAAATAAAAGTTCAGAAGTACCTTTAGGAAAGTTCAAATGATGAAAAGTTCCTTTGGAAACTATTTAAAAGTTCCACTGGTGAATCTTTATGTTGGAAAAATTTAACTGGTGAACAGGTCCTTTCAGAATATAGTTAATATAGTGTACTATTGGTGTGAGAAAGTGGCATATCGACGAATTTGCTATTTTACTGTGTCTTTTCTCATTTTATATGAATTGCATATTACTTCAAGATATCAACTCGTTTTTGCAACGAATTATATTGGCCATTGAATCTTGATTTCATGTTCAGCTGGTGAACAGTTCCCAGTGGTTCAACTGTAAACTGTTCCTTTTGGAAAGTATACCTGGTGAACAGTTTGATTTAGTAAAGTCCACCTAGGGAAGTTTCTATTGTAAAAGTTCTGTTACCATATGAAGTTCAACTATTCAACAAGACCCTTTGGGAAAGTGCAACTAGTAAACACCTTTCCAACAACAACATTTTAGATGTTTATGTTGATTAATAAAAGCAACATGAATTTGTATAGCATTTGCAAAATTAATATACTGTAATTGGTTCTTTAAATATTTCTTATGGTTGTGGGAGGAAGGATAATTACATCTTCCATAAATAAACTTACTGGGTACCTTAAAAATTAATATGCAGGCCTACATGCAACACACTACCTATTTATAACACTGTTCTCCATTTTATGACATTACTTGGCAGTGATGGATACAAAAAACGTATGACTGTGTAATATCCCTATAACTGAACCTTTATTTATATAATCTGTTATTTAAAAACCTGAACACAATTTCAGACGAGTAAGTGGTTGAATTTCAAATAACCATTTATAAAGTTTATGAATGCAATACTGATGATAACAACAATGTTTTTGAGTGACTTTATTCATAATATATCAACATTTTTATAATAAATTATTATTCAAATCAATGTACAATACATGCAATACAGTATACATTCATAATGCATGTCCAGTTACCCTCTTTGCTGCCTGTAGTGTTACAGCAGCATTGGTAGAAAGACACAGCTTCTACTCTTGCCGAGGGAGTTTCTAACCCCATGGACCTTTTCGCTAAGCCGAAGATGGATTGAACATACGTGAACATGTGCGATTGGGGGACAACACGTATGTTCTTGGGACTAGCACATATTCGCGTTACCTTGTTCCGAATGTTTTGTTGATTTTGAATGGCACTGCTGCACTGTAAGTATCAGAAATGTTTTCTCTAGCCATAGATGGCATGAAAGCTGCTCATATAATATGGTTTTTAATTCATTTTTGCAGCCTGCAACAAAATTGCTGCTGGTCCACATTTTGCCCATCAGTGCCTTACTTGTTCATAGTTCCAGTGGTGGAACCAGTCCTTCTTAGATTCTGGATATAAACTGTAGACGCAGTGTACTCAACACTACATCATGTGCACTTTAAAAATACCTAAGACAGTATGTTAGAAGATCAGAGGTTTACCCTATGTTCTGACATGTGATGCACACGATCATCATCATCATCATCATCTGCTACACTGTTTCATCATATTCATTTGGCGATTGATCTAGTAACATGCAGCACCCTACCTCATGTATTACACTGCCTTTCAGCATTGTTATTAGTAATATTGAATCTTGAACTGCTGATGCTGTAAGCATGGTCCTGGATTCTATCTACATTCAAGCAAGTTTCCTAAAAATGGTTATTAACATCAACAGAAATTATTATTACAATGTATATATAAAATGGTTTTACTTTTACATACCTTCAGTCTAAGGATTTCCATAACTTCACCAGAAGAATTTTTTACATCTTTTTCCCAAATAAGGTTCTGAAGAACACATAAAAAGAAAAGAAACAAATTAGAATATCTATAAAATGATGTAATAATGTACTATTCCCCTGAAAATAAAACAGAATATAAAAAAGTCCATTTACAATAATTATAAAAAACCTTTGAATTAGGTAAAATACAGCATTAATAAAGTAAAAATAATAGAAATATAAAGGTAACAATGCTAAAGGTAATAATAAAATAATAAAATGAAAAAATTATAATAATCATAAAAATATACTTCAAACCTCCAAAGATCTTATATAAAAAGATAGCGCCTTCCTAAAACAACACAGTGTAGGGTGCCCTCTCGCAATTACAATTACTTTTCAACTTTGACATCTATAATCTTTGTGCAAATTCAGGTTAAAAACTAGGACGCCCTCCCTCAATTACAATTACTTTCTGTGCAAACAGATGCTTCTATTTTGGTATGCATAAAATGCTATCTTGTTATTATAAGATCTTTGGTCTGTATAGATAAGAAACTTGACAAAATGAGGGTGGTATACAGTTAATCAAGAATTCTGGCTACTGCAAAATAACAGTCAATAATCCTGAAGGAAATTTAAAGAGAACAACTTTGGTCAGTCGGCTAAACTGGTGGTAGCCACTGTGTGTGCGCTGAACCGTGGAGATCAGTTCGTCTCAGGTCCAATTCCCATCGCTGCTCTTCTTGTACTTTAGTTGGAGTGTTAAAATTTTTTGGCAAATATTGACACCCCCCCCCCCATAACACTCTGTAACACTTTTCCAAACCCCCTCTAAATGTTATGTAACTCTAGAACCACCCCCCCACCCTTCCGAACATCAACAATTTTAATAAAATCAGATGAACAATATTAAGTATCAAGATAAATGTCCTCCACTACAAATTTGTCCTACACTACAAATTTGTAGGATGTTTTGTTATTTTTTGATATGGTAGATGTAACTTCATTGTTTGATTTCACAAAATTCAACACAACTGTGTTACATTACATTGTATTACACTGATGTAATATGTTTCAATAAAGTAATATCATACAAGTTTGAATATTTAATATTTCTTCTCTTCCCATGAAAATTAATTTTGTTATGACACACTTCAAGCAACACCCCCAACCCCTATGTCACACACTGTAACATTTTCCACTATACCCCACCCCCCCTCTGCGTTACATAATACTTGAATGACCCTTGGATGAGACATTTAAGCCGTTGGACCCCACTGGACATAAGTCTTCTTCAGACTTTCGTGGGTTATCTTTGGTGTTACACAGATTAATGCCATTCATCCAAAGACAGAAGGCAAACGCCTTTAATATGCAGATGCTTATCAATTGGTCAGCATCTGGTAGAACTGACCTGGAGCTGTACCAGGGCAGGACTTTAATTATGCTTTAAAGGGCACATACAGGTCACCTAACTCACCTGACAGTATATAGTAATTGTAATCAATAATAGCTTTTCAATTATGTACCTACTGTATCAGCAAACCCTCATTGTTTATCTTACATTATATTTAAATAAATTTTTGAATTTTGACTTATCACAAAAACAGTTTTTGTCCAATACCCTGTCAGGTATACAACGTCTAAAAAAATTTTTTTTTTCTTCAGTCTGGTTTTACAAACACATACACAATAAAACACACATACAGATGATAATAAATCTATCAAAAGAAGTTAAAATCCTGTTGGAGGCAATACGTTTTTCTCAAACATTTATTGTCATCTTTATTTATCACAAGTGAAGGTGTATCTCCATAACAAAGTTACTATCATGTGCATACATACAGATATACTTCAAACCAGTAAAATAGTCATTCAAATTTGAAAGAAAACGTGACTTAATAATATGTGATAAAAAAATTGTGAAAAATATGTATACATATTTTAAGCAGCTTGCAGCTCAAATACAAATGGAAGGAAAGGAAATCTATAAAAAAACAAATTCCATTTGTAATGTTGAGTGAATTTTTGAAAATAATGAAGTTCAAAAAGGTCTAGTTTTATAAGTAGGTTTGATATGCTTTAGGTTTTCTAGCTGATTCAAGACAATTTGAAGGCATGAAAAAGACATTTAATAATTTATCTATATGTTTATCAAATGTATGAAACAAAAATATACAATTTACATAGTCAGGTTGAGGACAAGAGGGGCTCCATGTGCTGATAGCCCAATGCAAGATATAGGTACCCTCTGAACCCTCAGGGAAAGAACACCAGCTTTGCACTTTTACTAACAACCTCAAAATGATTTCTATCAATTATGCTCTGGTCAATGCAAACATTAACAATCACACACAGTATCAACCTCTTCCCCTCCCTGGGGAGTATTACCAGTCGTGCATGAGCATTCGCCATAGACGGAATGCAGTCATCAAGAAAGTTCACATCCTTCCAAATACCCATTTTATTAGTACCTGATGCAAAGATAGAGACACGCAGATAAAGTATAATGACCCAAGCTACATTCTGGTATAAGCCAATCCCAGCCTTGAACACAATTTTGGATCGAGGGTGGGGTTATACTCGGGGAATCCCCTTTTCACAAGGTTTATGAGGAAGGGGTTGGCGCAACAGTTGTGGCTTGGACTCCCAACCTTGAGATCGGGGTCTGAAACCCTCGCTGTGCAGTGTCATTATAGGCAAGACACTTTATGTCTACCTACGAGTACCTCTACCCAGGAGTCTATATGGGAACCAGCGTATGTTGGGAAGATAAAACAGATTTGATGTGTGGAAGGAGTGGCGAAACCCCACCGCACGCTTGCACGGTCTGGCTCAAACACCTTGAGGATAATAGCATAATCATGTTTTAATAAATGCAGGCCTACTACGACACATTTGTTTTTTTCAAATTGTTTTAGGCCCAAAGGCAAAGGATATGCCTTAATCACTTAATATAATACTTAATCACTTTTCCAAGTGGCATATCCCTTCACAAGAAAAACATAAACACAACACACACTACATAAACTAAGTCTCATTATGAGGCTTGAGAGTGAAGTTGTTTTGGTCGTGAGAAAAAATTCCTGTTACTACTGACAGTTTCTGTGAGGGGAATTGAATCCAGGACCATGGGATTACAAGGCAAGCATCTTAACCACCAAGCTATTCAACTCCACTCAACACATGAATTTGGCAAGGAAGAAATGTTGAGAAAAATTAGTCCTTTATGAGAAAATCGATGGGGTATACAAGATTGGCTTCACAACTGATTTGGCTGACCAACAAATAGAAATCTAGGGTTTGGTAGACAATATATTTAAAAAAATAATAATAATTATATTATATTATGAGGTAGTATAAATTAAAAAACAGATTTGATTTCATAAAAAAAGTTTGATATTTGTAAAATGATCCACGAAAATGAGAGAAAATGCATTTCAGTTCAATTACTTGAACAACTCAATGACTATCAACTCAACATATATTTACTTCTTCCTGAACAATACTGAACAATACAAGACATTTAATTGTGTAAATTGAATAAAGAGAATTTTAATAATGTAGTGAAAGGAAGTTGGCAAGACCCGAGAAAAAATGGTTGGGCTGAGAAATATCTTGATGTTGATAAACATAATATAATAAATATGCATATTGAACATGGAAATTCTTCTAAGTAAACCAATAATATATACTGTTTGTAACAACAATGTATATTATTGGTTTACTTACTTACAAGAGTTTTCCATGCATCCAGAAACCAGATGAAACCATTTGAGCTTATGTGCATTGACTTAATAAGTAACAATTAAGTACCAAGACCAATTCAAAGTTTAATAAACTTAAAATTCTCACTTGTGAATGATGTACGGTAAGACTACTTTTTGTAAAGTAAAGATTGTATATATTTTAATAATAAAAAAAAGGAAAGGTTTAATTTCCTGATTTTCTGGATGTTAAATACATCGCGGCCAAACTGGTTCATGGTGGAAATGGATCGCATTCCTTGAATGATTCCCCTTGGCAAATGACATGTCAAATGTTATATCATACAGACCAGTCAAAATTTACACTGAAAGTATGAAATTGATGGGACTTGCATCAATACGTAACACATGTTGACTTATCACTTAAGAATACTAAATTCTGTTTCTTAAAGTTTTCTTTTCAGATCAATCATTCTAACACCACACTAAATTGTTTTCAAAGCCAACATGATGGATTACTTTAGCTGCTAGGCATGGTGATTTTTAAGGCCTCCTATTAAATAATAGTTTTGTTTTTCATTTTCATCAAACTATAAAAACAAATTGATAATATCATAAATTCTCTTGTACATATTTGCAATCAAAATATGAACCGAGAGTTAAATAAATCATTTAAAAAGTTAAAACATAATTTATAAGAAAAATAATTTATTTTGATGATGTCTGAGAGGTCACTCTAGAGGGTTTGTTCTAGGTGGTTATGACAAGTGTTACCATATGATCCCAGACACCTCGGTATTTACCTCATCATAATAAATAGGTAATTAATCTACCTTTAATCACCTTTCTCCTGGTACAGGTGAGTTGTGACTCAGAAATTCAAAGAGGCACATTCCAACAAGGTTTAAAGTTCAAAAATAAACAAGGGGAATAAAAACATCTTTTGATCACTTGTCTTTGCGATCTGACCTTTGACTTCCAGAGTATTAGGTTGATAAGCGGGATCAGATCACCACTCCCCAAAGCCTATCTCTCAGATCAATAAAACAACATTCTAAAATTGAATTAAAGCTCAAGATTTACAAAATGATTTATTATTGAAACTTTGGAATTGCCAACATGGCCCAAAAATAATATAAATATTATTGATAATTCATAAAAAATATATAATCCTAAAATCCTACATTTTCAGTACATGCTCCGAGTGCAAAATGCTCCTATAGATTGTTATTGTTTAGTGTTATTGCATCACGTTATCGCAGACAGACAAAATCGGCCTTTGATGATGATGATCATGATGACAGTGATGTGGCTGTGTACTCCAAAGATTAATTTTTCTGAACATTTCTTTAAATTG